TACATAGGCCTATTCCTTTCTATTTTCTTTAGTAAAAGCAATGCATGAAAAATGGTAAAAAAAGTGTCTTAGTCCTGTAACCAAGTTTGTGCAAAACTAATTAAGCCTTTAGTTGTCTTTTGCAAACATAATATCACATTGATCATTTTTCCATGCAGCTGATTTATTTTGCATGAAAACACTGTGAATATAGTTTATTGGAGCAATTAGTGATTTTATAGTAGATGCTGTTGGAACATGAAATAGTTCTTTGTAGTGAACATCCCTACTGAAGAAAATGTACCCTGCAGTAACCGATACTACATTATTTTATACAGACTACACCAGGCCTCTACTTTGTAGAAAAACACTCTCTTGTAAGACTAGCTTCTTCAGCAGTAATCTACTTTGTAGAAACAATCTATTATAAGACTAGCATCTTCAGAAGTAATCTACTTTATAGAAAACAATATATTATAAGACTAGCATCTTCAGAAGTAATCTACTTTGTAGAAAAACACTCTCTTGTAAGACTAGCATCTTCAGAAGTAATCTACTTTGTAGAAACAATCTATTATAAGACTAGCATCTTCACAAGTAATCTACTTTGTAGAAAACAATCTATTATAAGACTAGCATCTTCAGAAGTAATCTACTTAGTAGAAAACAATCTATTATAAGGCTAGCATCTTCAGAAGTAATCTACTTAGTAGAAAACAATCTATTATAAGACTAGCATCTTCAGAAGTAATCTACTTTGTAGAAAACAATCTATTATAAGGCTAGCATCTTCAGAAGTTGTCTACTTTGTAGAAAACAATCTATTATAAGACTAGCATCTTCAGAAGTAATCTCCTTTGTAGAAACAATCTATTATAAGACTAGCTTCTTCAGCAGTAGTCTACTTTGTAGAAAACAATCTATTATAAGACTAGCATCTTCAGAAGTTGTCTACTTTATAGAAAACAATCTATTGTAAGACTAGCATCCTCCGAAGTAGTCTACTTTGTAAAAAACAATGTATTATAAGACTACCATCTTCAGAAGTAGTCTACTTTGTAGAAAACAATCTATTATAAGACTAGCTTCTTTAGCAGTAATGTACTTAGCAGAAAACAATCTATTATAAGACTAGCTTCTTTAGCAGTAATGTACTTTGCAGACAACAATCTATTATAAGGCTAACATCTTCAGAAGTAGTCTACTTCGTAGAAAACATTCTATTATAAGGCTAGCATCTTCAGCAGTAGTCTACTTTGTAGAAAATAATCTATTATAATTCTAGCATCTTCAGCAGTAGTCTACTTTGAAGAAAACAATCTATTATATTTTCATATATCTATGTAATTACATTCCCATTGAAAATCAATTTACAACCCTTTCTTTATAGTGCAAATGTGAAATACCTAAATGTATACAGAGATGTACAAATTATATGGAGAAAAGGTTTTCATGGGAAAGTTTAACATTCTACTTTTCCATGCAGGAAACATTTAGTCAAATGTGTTTTACTTGTCTAAACCATTTTTTTGGCTTAATTTAATGAATAATCATTTAATCATTGTGTATTATATTCAAACAAAATTCTTGCATTATGAGACAAAACACTAGTTTAGCTACTTGTACAATTTTATTAACATTTTTCTGAAAGGCACAATAGAAGCAAGATTTCACTTATTAAAAGACAAAGGTACATGTTATACACAACAAAAACAATGTTACATCTGCATATATACAAATATGTACATATTTGTTACATTCTAATTGAAAGCCTTAAAATGCAGAATTCTTCACAAGTACACAGTTTTTTTGTTGTGTAAGGTTTAAAACCACTATGTAATAGTATAGCATAAATCTGGTGTTATACACACTGGAAAACTCATACCTCACAAAGTCACTCTAAACCTGCTGAAACATTACTTGTACAATTCTTCTATCTCAAAATCCATAGATTTTAATACAGTATGATACATCATATAAAGTAACATTTTGTAAACAAGCTTTATACAGATAATAACTTTGTATCTGTACCAGTTGGTGTTAATTTATCTAAATAAAAATGTTGAACATGTTCAGCTGAACATAGTGGTTCAAAGCTTTCACTACAGACAGACAAGTTAAACACAAGGTCACATCCAGCTAAATTATATTTGTTAATCAACAACATAACAATAAAAACTGTTTGAGTTGGGCTATAAAATGTTGAAAACTGCATGGCTGTGTTTCCTTAGTTATTTAATTATTAAATTATACAATAGGAAACATAACTTTGGACCACCCTGAGTGTGTGTGTCTGAAGTTAAAACCAATATATAGTTGATTATTAATAAACTAAACTGACATAAAAACCATATACATATTCCATGAAACAACCCACATTTAAGTTACTTATTACTAGGAGCTGCACAATAAGTAATGTGCAGTGTACTTAGAAAAACTATGAAATCACCAATATAATTAAATCAGAATACTTGTTAAATTCAAACCTCAGCTTGGGGTATATATCTGTCACATTTACAGTAATAAGAAAAGAACATCACACAGTCAGCATATAAAACATTAGTGCGGGACTATGTACAAATTGATTAGGAAGTTGCTAATTACACAACTCACTTTTCCACACACACACAGTCATGTTTTAATCATGAACTGTATGTAAACTACACAAAACAAAGATTCATTCAAGATATCAAATTATGTCTTTAAACAATTACAAAACTTTTCATAGTTGTTTGTTAATTGTCTCATATTAGCTCTCTAAAGTGTTATCAAGGTGATCCTACAATAGCCTAGTATAAAAAAAAAAGACTGAATACTCATTTTTCAAGCACGTTATTTGCCAAGTTTTAATAAAAGACAAAAAAATTAGCAATTTCATTTTTGTAAATCAGTTACAATTTTATAATTAAACTAATAGTTTGTTTCACACTATGAAAATCTGAGAATAATGTAAGATAGATGACTAAATGACACACACAGAGAAGCATACATGGTTACACAGTTGCAATTAATTCTTCAAAGGCATTTTTTAGAATAATCAACCATAATATACAGGGTTTTTCTTCAATATACATTTCTAATATAAAAGCCATCCTATTTTCTTTAGTGCTCGTTTTCAAATCTTGTGTTTGAGATAAATAAGATTCAATAGTTACAGTAAGCTGTTTTTAAAATTGTATTTAGAAAGTTATATAAAAATTACATAACATGTCTTGGAGCAGATTGTGTTGGAAATTAAGGTTTCCAATAAATTACATTAAAGCACATGAGTAATACATCCACATACAGCCTTCATTTAAAGGTTCTTTATGACATCTCCTTTTGGAAATGCATATTTGTGTCCACTTTAATTTTTTTCTTAACATCATACCTGAAATATGTTGGTAAAGAGATGAACATAACCACCCACAGCTGCTGCTAAAGTTGAAATAGCTACACAGCTATATACATTCTTCAAATGTTTTCTTACAGGTTCCTCACTACAAAAAAAAGGTGCTTATTTCTATTGTTTATTCATGATAAACAGGAAAAAAGTTCTTTATTCTATCAATGTCACTCTTACTTCAATAAAAATAAATAAATCAAAAACAACCTAATTGTAGCTCTTTACATCCATATAGCTACCCAACAAACATTTCAAAATAACCCAAAAACAGCAGATTATTCCACAAACTTAGAACTCTAACAGAAAATTATCCTTTTTTCAATCATAAGGTTGAAACTGAGCTTTTTCATACTTATTATCCTCAATGTACAAAGCTTGGGTTTCCAAACGTTTTTCACTATCGAAAACACATCATATACATACAAAAATCACACCTAAATCAAGTCACTTTAGATGTTCTATGCTCCAGAATAAATGATATTAAATCTTTTAAGTTCTTTGTAACTGTAGTGTCTTATGCTTGAAATCATTTAATAAGTATCAGCTCATATTTCTATACTTTAGGTCAACAATATCCTAAATGTACCTGTAACAGATAAAATTTTTTTGTTATTGTCACTATTTAAAAATCAATGAAACCTCCTAATTAAAAACAATTTACTTTTTAAAATCTATAAATCTGTTCCAAAACATTTGTTAATCATTATCTCAATTCATCAATGATAAATCTTTTCTCATGGCCTCAAAATTGGCTTTCTAGTTATTTGATGAAGTTTTGCACAAAGCTACTCTATCTCTGTCAAACATCCCTAATTTTTAAGTGATAAGACTACATGGAAGGCAGCTAGTCACCATCATCCACCACCAACTCTTGAGCTACTTTTTACCAAAGAATTGCAGAAATGACCATTACATAATGCCCCCAGGGCTAATAGGGCAAGCAGATAGTGTTTCAAAACCATGACCCCAACGTTGCAAGTTAAGTGCTCCAACCACCAGGTCATTGTATTCCTCAAAATATGGAACTAAAATTTCATTTCTTTTAATCCACACCTAGAAAAACATCAAACCTAATTATGGAATGATCATTCTTCCCCAAATGTTCTCCAATTTCAGCTCTTGCAACCACATTCTCATTAGTGATCAATTATAAATCTAAAAAACAGTTTATCTACAGACGATGACAAACTTGTTGAAATGTTGTACATTTGCTAATAACTTATAAAGTTTCTTTCCTTACCTGTTCAAACCATCCTCAAACTTTATTTTCTAAAACTAATAGTAATAATGGTTTCCTCGTCATCAAACTTCACGTAGTATAATGGCATCTTTATTAAACACTTCAAAAAGCTTCAATATTATTTTCTTACGTCTTAGTAACTAAAAGTTTTTCTTACTTCCTCTAACATTACCCACGTATTTTTCAATCACTATTCCATTACATCACAAATCATAAGTCAGCTAAAAAAATGGAGCCTATTGCGTTTGGTAGAAACCATGACTGCAACAGTACTTTGTTTCTTGCATTTTATTTCTCACTAATCAATTTAAATAATCAAATACGTTTGTCAATGCCACAAAATAAATGCATTTTACTTGGGATATTTTAAGTTACGTAACTTAGTATTTTATTTACTTTTTCCTCTACGCTTTGTTAGGCTTAAAATTTAATAAAAATTATGCAGTCTTCATAGTCAGTGGCTCACAGTGACACTAGTACTAGTAGTACAAGCAGCAGTATTACTACTAACCAGCACGACGCTTTCCGAGAAAAATAAAATTACAAATAAGCTGCTAAAATTAAATCCATTACTCACAGTTGATCGTAAAATGTGTTAATGAAATTTTCCACCCGAAACGTCGCCATCTTTTGTTATATAAAATGTTGCGCAGAATTTTCTCAAAACTCTCGAATAACCTCCCAAACGTTTCAACTAATTTTCTATTGATCGCTCTACTGTAGCTGACTGTGTTGACGTGTATTCAGATAACACAAATTACGTCATAATATTTCTGTAACATTAAGAAACATCTCTGTGAAAAGTCTCAAAAACAGTAAAATATTTATAAAAAGAAATCTATATATGTTATGCAGATTATTCTTCTATTATCTTTATCAGGAGATATTCTTTATTTTTTCATTACTTCTTTTATCATTCTTACTGTAGAACAGAATATTCGTTACCTCTTTCTTTTAAACATTAAAAGGGAATATTTTAATAATAAATAATAATAGTTTACTTGTCTGTTTATTTGTTTGCAGTTAAGCACAAAGCTATATAATGGCTATCTGTACTGTGCCCACCAAGGGTATCGAAACACAATTATTAGCGTTATAAGTCCGCAAACTTACCGCTGAGCCACTCGAGGGCAAAAATTGGAAATACAGAGTTATTATAAGGAAAGTTTCATAGTTCAGCGCAACATATCTCATAAACTGAATGGCACAGGAAAGTGAAACTGCACAAGGATGTTAAAGTTATCATGCCAATGCTAATGCAACAAATTTCACATATTGTTCCCACTCCACTACGACACTGTTCAAAATTTGCTTCTCCAGCATCCAGAATGCATTTAATCCGTGTGACAACGGACAGTACAGCAACAACGCGAATCTCATCAGGTATGCAAGACATGCCTCACCTGGTTACCGATATGCGGAGAGACACTATTCTACATGAAAACCGTAGTGTCTATCACAATTCGATGCAGAAGCATGGTAATTACATTGGCTGTTTTCATTAACTGTGCAAATTTGCAGTCTATGTACTTATGACCCTTTACAAAAAGTATGGTCGAATAACAAAGTCAACTGTGAAACCACACCGCACTGTCATTTTAGAATCATCAAGATGTGAAGGAAGTGATTAGTTTCCGACAAGATAATACATTGTACTTGTTGCATGACGGTGTGTAGGAAGTGATTAGTTTCCGACAAGATAATACAGTTGTACTTGTTGCATGAACTTTGCCAATTCCTGTCCCAGTGTCCAATTGTACTTTTCTGCCATTCCATCAGACTGTGGGTAAAATGGCGTTGTTCTGGCCTTTCGTATGCCAAACAACTTGCAGCATTAATGGAACACAGCTGATTCAAAGTTACGGCCTTGATCTGAATGCAGTTCATATGGCATACCAAATCTGAAGAAGAAATCACTAATAGCCGTTGTAGCTTCCTGATTTGATATTGCATATGCCTCAGGCCACTTGGTGAAATAATCCATCACCACACAAATGTACCTGTTTCCAGCACAAGTTTGGGGCAAAGGACCAGCAATGTCAACAGTCACTCTTTCCATTGGTGCGCCAACTTGATATAACTTCATTGAAGTACGTCCCTTATGCTTGGGTCCCCTTTTAGCACAACATGTACTGCATATCCTGCACCATTGTTCCACATATTGTCTCATACCTATCCAGTAAAATCTCTGTCGTAGATGACTCAATGTCTTCTTAACTCCGAGATGTCCTCCTGTTAAACTATCATGGGATTGATGTAGCACAACCTACCGTAACTTTCTCGATATAACTGTTTGCCAGGTCGTCACGTTCCCATCTGCAGTTTCCCATCTCCGGAGAAGAATACCATCTTCAAGCTCCAACTGGTCCCATTGGGCCCAATAGTTCTTTGTCACAGGGCTTAAGCTAGACACCTTCTCCCAAGCAGGGCGCAAAACACTTGCTTTTAGAAAATCAATTATTA